TTGCTACTGCCATGTGGCAAAAAAAAAAAAAAAAAAGAGAAACAATGCAACTGCCAGAAATTTACTCGTCATGTGGCTGCTTACAGGGCAGCACGTGACGTTATGTGAGCGTAGTCCAGAACGAAGCAGATTTAGAAGTTAATAGATGAGTTTGAAGGGAAGTAAAGTATTTAAATTAAAATGAAAAAAAATCAAGAAATTACTTATTATTCGTAAAGTATCTCTTCTTCTTCAGACAGTGGCGGTCCTGGCGGACGTCCTAGTCTTCGCCTGTTTCCTGCTTCATCGACTCCAGTCCTTTTCTCATTTCCGCCCTCTGCCATTAATTCTTCCTGGTGACAGAGACAATATAAGGAAATTACTAATTAGAGTTAGCTGATTTCATTAAACAAGTAATACTTAAGCAGATCCAAAGCCTTCCTTTGCTGATAAATATAAAATTAAGAAATATTTCGCACTTAGACAGTAGAAAATTTGAAGAAACGACAGGGAAAATTATGAAAAAACAACAAATTAGGCATGTTTATATTCAAATAATGATGATGAAACGATTGATAGTTTACACACCTGAATCTCCACCAAGATATATATGAAAAGATGGACAAATGAAAAGTATTCGCTGTGGCGCACGACCTAACGGCGGATAGGATGAATCGATCTGAAAGAGAAAATTTCCATTCAATTGCTTGATGAATTTTATAGCAGAAAGGCTTCGTAGAAGTAATTTTTAGCTCGCGAGGCATCCCGAGCAAAATAACACTCCCAGTACTGAAGCAGTTTCGCAGTCAAAGCGAACGCCACAGTTTTTTTTCGTCTAATATATTTAATGATTCCTTCCAGTTTATAATGTAGTCTTATTATTTTCCTTCTTCAGTCAAGAGCAATTGAAATTTCTATAGCACCTTTTTGAAGCTGTAAATTCATTACTCCCTTCTTTCGTCTTTCATTTTTAGTAGGGGTATTTTGATTTTGATTTTTTTTTTTTACATAAATTTAAGATAAAAATCTAATAGATTATATAAATAATAATTAAAATTTGTTTATCATATAAAAATATATAATAAAAACTTCATATAAAAAAAATTTTTATTAGCTTTACCTTGATTTTTTTAAATTTTTAAATATAAATTTTAGATAAAAATTTAATAGATTATATAAATAATAATTAA